TCGGCTTTCAAATTCAAGTCGTGGTCCAAGAGCAGCAAAACCGCACACGACAAGCAGCGCTCGAACAGCGTTCCACATACTCCGACCGTTGACCCTCAGCGCTCCCTCTCAGCAGGCGAGGCACCAAATCGCGCCTCGGAAGACTCCAACACCCTCCAAGCCGTGCGCTCCAAGTCCCTTAGCGCAATCCCCAGCGACAGCACACCACAGCCTCCGCCTTCAAATCTAGACTCTCGCGTCCGCAAGCTCAGTCTAGATCACGGAGACATGGCGGGTATCCCGCCCATCCAGGAGAATGGCGGCGAAGTGACTAGTTTCCCAGCAAGAAGCGGGCTAGCTGAGTTCGACGACGATATGGACAAGAACGCGCTGGTGCAGGTGGACACGGCCAAGAGTGAGGGGAGCAAAGATGAACTGGAGAATGTCAAGACCGTGAATAGTTACATTGATCGGCATGATATGTATCCAGCTATAGGTCGCATTGAAACCAAGGATATCAGGAATGTTGCGCATACGCCGGGTCTTTAACGTCTGGCGCGTGTGCTCACGAGGCCAGTCTAGCGAGAGACGGGGAGTAATTTGTAATCACTTAGTGCATTTTGGTTTCAGAGGAAGAGAAGATATAGTTATAGGGTAACTCAGTGTCAGCCTGTAGATGCTGATTGTGTTCCAGAGCGAGGAGCTCACGAATGCTTCGCTACAGATTTATCATCATTTCCACGTCGACGGAGTGCGTTCAGAGTCATCATTCCATTGTTGAGCTCAACCATGATCTCGCTTACCGAGGGCAGCATCCGAAAGTCGACCAAATTGGATCACAGCCCCAAACATCCATAGATTGAGCCTTTTCTGCTTACCGTATACTTGCGGAGATGCTATGTGGAATGCTAAAGAGGCTCACTATAACCACAACACCATTTACATACCATCCGTGAAGTCAACACCACCAGACATATGCTCATACCAGCCTTGTTCTTTCTTTCCCCACGTGTCTACTCATGAGTACCCGATTGGCAGTTGTTAGGAAGACAGACTACTCGAGCGAACGGCTCTGCATACTCTGGAACGTCTAATGGCGTCACTCGTCAACGCTTACATGCCTTTCGTGAAGACGCTCTACCCATCAAACATGAAGCCATGAGGCCTGGAAGATGAGGTCTCTCTCAGTAGCGTTTTGATTCATTCGCGATACCTCATACAATGACCTGAAGTACGTAAAAATCTACGAAATGCATCAGACGGGAGCATCTGGAAACGGTCATAGCTGAGGAAGTGGAGACGTTTATAGACACCATGTGCGTTTGGGATGGCTGAACACGGGGCGCTGATATACATCCAACTCTGTATCAAAGAAATATGTTGACTCGCATGAATGAACCATCATCGCCGCTGAGATGTCCCGCTGCAACGGTCCCTTTACGACCGGCAAGCGATGTCCATGTATTCAGTGCCTCACGCTTCGGCCTCGACCGCACCTTTGCCAACACCACTATTGTCGACATTTAAATCGTATCAACAAACGTCCAAATCCTATTCAAGCGCCCAAGGCGTGGTGAAATCCAGATCTGTCACCGCCAGGGGAAGGGCTAAGTGGTAGCTGACGTCAAGCTACCCAATGAAGGGAACAGGCTTCCGCAGAAATAATACGCATAGCTATATTATACCCGTGTTTCCATCATCCGAATAAACATCGTATGTTCTGCAATGCATGCAGCCGCGGGATCTGATAGTGGTGGTGCAGATTTGTTGATTCCCGCACCTCCACCATGACACACATCAAACGCTTTATCTAGTAGATCCTACTGAGCCACGTGATTGGAAAACGTCGTTGACTTCTCTGTCTTGGCATGGGCTACATTGGGATCCTTCGACACTCACCGTGAAGGTGAGTGCATGCTCTCGTCTTCACCTTCACCTTGAGTCCAGGCAGATCGCTTGTTGACTTTTCTCCCTCGCGACTTCCTCCCCATACTTTTGTCAACCTCGTCTCTCGCACCTTGCTACATTGTTCAAGCTCTTACTCCGCAACGTTGGGGCCAAGGTAGTCATCCCCCAGCCATTCTTCTGCGCGCACGCTCTAACTGGATTTAGAAAAGTTACACGTCGTCGCGCGCTCTTGCGGGCTCGATCGTGTTTTGCTTGCGCCCAGTCAACCTGGCAACAACAGCAAACCGCGTCAACAAACACATTTCTGGAACAAAATCCACCCGCCACATACCAACAACCATCGAAACGATGCCGCCTAACGGTCTCTACCGCATGCCGCAGCATCACCTGACTGGTCAAGGCGCCTCAATGAAGCGTCCGTCTTACAACAGCATGGACTTCAAAGAGGACGAGGAGCCGGCACCTATCAAAACCAACGATGGTGCGACGGATGAAGTTGCCGAGGAAGAGAAAGCTAAGAAGAAGCAAGAGAAGGCCGAGAGGAAGGAAGCCAGGAGACTGAAGAGGCTGTCCAAAGAAGCTAAAGCTACCAAGGAGCCCGAGAAGGTAGAAGGGAAGCAAAACACTCCACCAGTCGATGCGACACCTACTGTCAAGCTTGCTGCGACTCCTCTCAAGAATGGGAAATATGGTCCACGCGGTCCGTATAAGAAGAGGGAGGTTGGATCCGACGGCACACCAGTTTCTGCTGCGAAGAAGCGCAAGCGAGAGAGCGAGGCCGCAGTCGCTATGCCAGCTACCGTACCTACGGAGTCACCCAAGAAGAAGCCCGGACGGCCAAAGGCTTCGGACAAGAAGGATGTTGTTGAGTCTAACAAGACGGCGAAGAAGGTCGTCAACTCTGGCGAGACCAAGGCTAAGAAGCAGAAACTGGAGAAAGCGCCTGCTGCCTCTGCCTTGCAGAAGAGTTCCGACGTCGTCAAGACCCCGGTACCAGCGCCCTCCGTCGCAGCGGCTCTGTCTTCTCGTCCGAGGCAGACTCCAGTTCCGCTGCCTCACAAGACAGCCGTCCCGCTTCCTCGAAAGACACCTGTCCCGCTTCCTCAGAAGACACCGGTTCCGCTTCCTCAGAAGTCTCCCCATACTCTGAAGGACGGCGTCAGTAAGTCATCGGCCAAGACTACCAAGGCCGCTTCCGCTCAGTCTGAAGTCCTTGTCACCGAGACTCCTCTTTCGCAGATGAGCCGCACTCCTGCAACCACTCCTCGTGTGTCAGCGATTCCTTTCAGCCTTGCACCGGCACAGTCGTCAGCAGCGACCACAAGCAAGAAAACCGAGGAAGCACCTACTGCCGACGAATCGTCTCCCGATATCCCTCTCATGACTATCGCAAAACTTGCCAAAGCCGACAAGCACGTGGTCGGTAGCCAAGGCTCCGTCAATCCACTCACTAACAGCCAAATCGAGAGCTTCACCTCTGCGAACCTCATGAACTTCAAAGAGCCCCTAAACCACGCCCCCAAACCACGCCCCCGAGGTCGTCGCGCTGTCAGCGAAGCAACCAGCACCACGTCGAGCACCTCTTCCTCCACAACCCAAAGTGTTCTGGACATGTATCTGCGCCCTAACAAGCCATACACTCGGCCCGACGAGGAGCTCTCTCCCTTCGACAAGAAGAAGAAGAAGCATGTGGAGAAGCACACCGAAGCCAGCTTTGACGTTTTCACTACTACCTTCACCACTTCCCAGCGTACCATCAACTTCACCGAGGAAGCCGAGTACATGGAAGAGTATGACGACTGGCTCTACGACAGCAAAGAAGCAGGTCCCCTTCCTTGCCTACCCCAGTTAACAGGCTGCTCCTCCAAGAGCGAACAGCTGCTACAACTGCAACGCTCCGATGACACCAACACTGCCGCGCTCAAGGTGGTCGTCACAAACGCATTGCAAGTGGAAAAGGCCAACGCCGACATCAAGCGCGCCGAGACTGCATCCACCTTCTTCCGCTACAGTATCTTGACCCGTGTCCCCATGCCTCTTGGTGCGATTGAAGGATCCTGGAAGCTGTACTGCCCCATGTACACCGAGACCCACATCGACAACCACGGTTTCGGCCAGCGCACTCTCAGGGTTTCCTCCATTATTGGTCTGAGCGCCGCATCCGGTGCCCATAGTGCCAGTCTCAGTATTCCATCTCGTTCCTCGCCGTATGCCACCCACGCGTTTCATGCTCCCCCTCACGCATCTTTCCGCATTGTCCAGGCCAAGACAGTTGTCGGCAAACACAACATAGACATCATGTTTCTAGGGAATGGATACTTGAAGCTCAGGGTTGACATGCACCTTTTGACTACGGGTAAGACGGTTGCGGAGAAGAAGGCGGCCAAGAAGGGTAAGCAGGCTAAGATCAAGGCGGGACAGGGTATCTGGGAGTTCCTTGGTGTGCACGAGAAGGCAGTCGATTGGGAGCCCGAGGTCGATGAGGTGGAGAAGGAGGGTAGGAGGCTGACTGCAAAGTATGATGGGCGCTAAGGAGAAGCGTGAGGTTGATGGATCGAGTCGGTGATTGGTGGGTGTGAGCTATATGGAACATGCATTGTCGGAGGACGAGTGGAGAGTTAATGAGGTCTTCGCGTTGGGGGAATCCTGGGGTAAGAGTTGGGCTTCGCAGGAGCTTTGCAGACTGTTACTTACGGTTTTCATACGCCAGCCGATGAAGATATTCAGCACGGCAAGACTGCACTGTCGGTCGTCCAGACATGAACCGATGATGCCTGTCTATTGCACGTCTTTCTTGTACGATACTCATAATAAACATACAAGGCACGTATACTCGCTTCGCTGTGGCGTGACTGTTGCTCTATTCATACTGTTCGCATCTACGTCTACCACTCGTCACTGAACGAAGCAAAAACTCCTAGTCTCATGCAAGAGGTATCAAAACATCCCTTCCTCGCTATCTCCTAAAACACCTACTCCCCAATTTCTTGCTTCTATATGCAGGGTGACTATATTACGCGTTCCTTGACCAGATCAGAGCGGAGATGTGACCGTCCACTGACCCGTCTCAGCGAGTGAGAGGGAGAAGAAGAGGAAGAAGAGGAAGAAGACACCTAGTCCTTCTTCGCCCGGCCGTTTTGCTGTTCGACAAGCTCCAACTTCTCGTTGCCCTTTTGGATGAAGAACTTGCGCTCGAGGAATTTGAGACCTTCGTCGATGATGCTGGTTTCATGTTAGCCTTGCTCTTTCGTTGATTCTAACAGACTGTGAGGATGACTTACATGATAGGCGCACTGATGGCCATGACCGCCTTCCACTCGTTGCCGTCTAGCGGGATGACACTGAAGAGTCCCTGCAAGAACGGAATGTAGAGGAGAGCAAAGTGCAAGGCCATGCTCAAACAGATGGCATAGACGAGCATCATATTTTCCCAGAGCGGCAGTGTCAGCAGACTCTCTGAGCTGCTCAAAGCGTTCATGGCATTGAGCATCTCGATTACGACCAGGATGCTCAAGCTGACGGTTGACGCAGCCTGGGCAGACGAGTTGCTAAACATTTCGCAGCCGATCTCAGGGAACTGGGTAGAGCAGCGGTGGAAGTGGCGGAGCTGGTAGAACGAGATTTGAGGACCGTCGCTATTGAACATGAACCACCACGCATAGCCACCGACAGTTGCGGCACCGACATAGGTACCAATAACCATGTAACGGAAGAACAACCAGCCGCTGATGAGAGGCTCGTCGCGCTTACGGGGCTGGCGCTTCATCACATCGTGGTCCGGAGGGTTGAAGGAGAGAGCGGTGGCGGGGAGACCGTCGGTAACGAGATTGACCCAGAGGAGTTGGACAGGAATCAAAGCTTCAGGCATACCCATAGCGGCAGTCAGGAAGATCGACACGACTTCTCCAATGTTGGACGAAATGAGGTAGCGAATGAACTGCTGAGTGTTGTTGTAGATAGAGCGGCCTTCTTCGACGGCGCCTTCGATGGTAGCGAAATTGTCATCTACAAGGACCATATCAGCGGCGAGCTTGGCTACGTCGGTTCCGGAGCCCATGGCAACACCAATGTCAGCTTTCTTGAGTGCGGGAGCATCGTTCACACCGTCACCAGTCATAGCGACCACCTCACCGGCTTGCTGAAGGAGGTCGACGAGTTTGGACTTGTGCGTTGGCTCAGTGCGGGAGAAGAGGCTTGCGTGCTTAGCGGCTTCCATCTTTTCAGATTCGGAGAGATCATCGAATTGGCGACCAGTAAAAGACTTGCCAGTAAGATCCTCGTTGGGTCCGAAGACGCCAATCTGACGGCAGATGGACTCGGCAGTGTTTTGGTTGTCCCCAGTGATGACCACGACGCGGATACCAGCAGAGCGGCACTTGGCGATGGAGGCGCGGACTTCAGGACGAGGAGGATCCAACATGCCGACGAGACCGATGAGAGTCATCTTCTGCTCTAGCTGAGTGTACTCCTTGGTGGTCTTCGCCTTCGCCAGAAGCGGGTTCGATTCAACGTCTTCAACAGACGCCACAGCAATGACACGCAGACCGCGATTGCCGTACTCGACGATCTCCTTGTTGATAAGACTGGCCAGTTGCTTGCTCATTGGTATCTTCTTGCCGTTCTTGCCAACGACGACATTGGTGCAACGATCAAGAATTGACTCGGGGGCGCCCTTTACGAGGAGCTTCTGCGAGTTGCCCTTCTTTACAAGGACAGACATGCTCTTACGGTCGCGGGAGAATTCGTAGGTTGCTAGGCGGGAATACTGGCTCTCGTAGTGCTTGGTGGCGAAATCGAGGCGTCCTTCAGGCGAGGTGCTGGCGCGCGTGGCATTGTGGGCAATGTCGGGAGTGCCAACCTTTTCTACTAGGACACGAAGGGCACCCTCAGTAGGCTCACCGACGAGGTTATACGTGCCATTCTTGGAGTCGTAGGCAAGGGCGGCATCGTTGCAAAGCGCCGTGACTTCACAGATCTGGCGGACAGTGTCGGATTGCGCCGCGAGGTTCTCGAGAGGATTGCCACGAAGTGAGATCTGGCCCTCGGGCGCAAAGCTAGTACCTTGGACGTCAAACTCTTCAAGGCCGCTGCCTTGTTCGTTGAGGAAGACCATCTTGTTGACGCTCATCTGGTTGGTGGTGAGGGTACCAGTCTTGTCGGAGCAGATGACGCTGCAGCTGCCGAGAGTCTCGACAGAAGGCAAGCTCCGCACGACGGCGTTCCTTGCAGCCATCTTGCGCGTGCCCAGGGCCAAGCAGGTTGTGATGACGACGGCCAGACCCTCGGGGATGGCGGCGACACCGAGCGAGACGGCAATCTTGAGGTAGTAAATGGCGCCCTTGGTGAAGCTGCCATGCGAGGGGTCGTTGAAGTTGCGGATGTTGATGAGCCAGACGAGGATGCAGATGGCCGTGATGACCTTTGCGAGCTGGTCGCCGAAGTCGTTGAGCTTCTCCTTGAGGGGTGTGGGCTGCGAGATCTGTGCCGTGATGCTCTCATGGATGTCTCCAATTGCGGTGTTGGCGCCTGTCAGGACGACCAGCGCAGTCGCATGGCCCGTGACGACCGTGGTACCCGAGAAGAGCATGTTGACTTGGTCCTGCTTGACGGCGTTCTCATCTTTGACGGCCCGGGTGTCCTTGGACACGCTCTCGCTCTCTCCGGTCAAAATGGACTGGTCGATGTTGAAGCTGTTGCTCTGGATAGACAAGATCCTGCAGTCGGCGGGTATCCTGTCGCCGATTGTAACGGAGATGACATCTCCAGGGACCAGCTCGTCGGCCTTGACGCGTTTGACGTGGCCATCGCGCACGACCTTGGCTTCGTTGGCGGAGTATTCTTGCAGAGCCGCAATGGCCTTTTCGGCGCTGGTTTCCTGCGATACTCCGACGACGGCGTTGAGGACGAGGATGGTGAGAATCTATGGGGCCTGTCAGCGCAGTGCAGGCAGAGTCTGGTCTAGTACGTACGACTGCCGGGTCGACGAAAGCCGTCCAGCCTTCGTCCTCTTCAAAGAGGGCAAGTACGAACGACACTGCTGCCGAGCCTAGCAAGATGATGACCAGCTGGTCCTTGAACTGCTCCAGGATGAGCTCCCAGATGGGTGTCGGCGGGTCTTCTGGCAGCGCTGTCCCGCGTGTTAGTGGTGGGCGGCCTCTGCGACGACGCTGACATACCGTTCTTGCCATGCTTCTCCCGTGCGCTCTGCACCTGCTGGGCGCTGAGGCCCTGTTGCTCCTCGACCTGGAACTGCCTCAGCGCCTCGGCAGGCGTCTTGGTGTACGCATTCTCCATGCCCACTGCTCTCGGTGCCGCGTCTGCGTCTCTCGGTGCTCTCGCTGTTGGATGGTCCGCGTGGCGCGGTGGTGGTGGTCGCAGAGATAGTTCGGCTCGCGAAGTGTGTGGTCTTTGCCTATGACGTTGAGATGCACTGGGACAACGTCCGCCTTAGTACTGGGAGCGGCAAGGGAGGGACCGTGTTTCCTGGCACAAGCAGCGTCACAGGAGAAGAGGATGGAAGGTTCTGCGATTGTCCACGGCAGCAACGGCTGTACTGGCGGCGCAACAGCTCTTGTCTCGACTTCGGCGCATCCCAAGAAATCTGTCCTCTAAAATCGACCCGCATGCGCCACAGCACTAGTCCCCTTGCAGCCTCTCCAGCCACCCTTCGTCCGCCAACACGTTTCGCGCACCTCGTTGCCATTCGCGCACCCGTCCGACTGCACCTCGAGCGGAATGTGGCTGGTGAGAGTCGCCGTTCGCAGCGACTCTGCAAGGCTTGGGGCGCGGCCAGATTCCGAGGCCAGGTGCCATGTTCGGCCATGCCCCGCGGCTCGAGCTCCCCACCTTGGACATCATGACTGCAGCTCACCGGGGCAAGACTGCCGTGCCTGCGGGTCAAGCTCGGCAATCCGGGTCTTAGCAGAGCTCACGTTGCCAGCACTGCAGTGTCACTCGCAAAGGAAGCAACGAGTCGAATCATATGGTAAACGTTTCGTTGTATAGTAGCCCGCGTATGCTACTGCAGCCCATGTTCCAGGTCGTCCCAACATGCACAATTCATCAAAGGGTATTATGGCCTACCAAAGGTATCCCGCTCGCTAAACGCCGCAAAAAGCCTTCAGAGGCCCGGTCAAATGCTATCGTCATCATCATGTACCCAGTCCGATCCAGTCATGCCCGCTCTCTAGCATCACCACCTGTATCGTGTACGACTATAATCTATGTATCGTGAATAAACCCAGGCAGCCATAGCGCCGTGGGAGAAGTAGAAAGTGCAAGCTCATTGGCTTGCGCAGTATGTCCGAATCAATCGGGCAATGTCTCGGGTGATGAAGGGCTTGGTGACAAAGCCCTTCATCCCGCTCTTGACTGCTTTGTCCAGAGCGGCATCCGTAATGTCGGCGCTGACGGCCAGGATGGTCGGCTTTCGCACGAGCTCGGGCATCTTCAGAATCACCTCGGTAGCTTGGAAGCCGTCCAGCAGCGGCATCCACAGGTCCATGAGGACGACATCAAATGCTTCAGAAGCCGGCGCGAGCGCATTGCGACGAACAGTTTCGACGGCGTCGTTACCGTTGAATGCCGTGGTAATGTTCTTGTAGCCCAGCCTGCCGAGCATGCTCACCAAAACGCGTCGGTTGATAGCGTTGTCATCCACGACCAGAATGTTGAGGGGCAGCTGTTCGCCGAGATCGGTTGGCACGACGTCCCGCTCCAGAGATAGAGCGCGAGTAGAGTGTTGTCGTGGGGGCGATGAAGTGCGGCGGGGAGTAGCAAGGCCAATGTCATCTGGCGATCTTGCAGAGGGGGCGGTGATGACAGGTGTGATTGGTGGCCGACGTTCCCGCTCGTGTCTGAATGCATCAGAACTCAGCGGAGGGGTGACTGGGCCCCGGCCAAGGTCCAGACGAGGTACCTCGGGATCGATAGACATGCGAGACTTGATGGACAGGGTGGGGGACCCAAATGGTGTTGCAGGGCGACTGCATATTTCGCCTGGGGTAAGCGGGACTCGCATCTCAAATTCTGATCCTCTTCCGGGTCCCGACACATGCGAACGCAGGCAGAAGAGATCGCCACCGAGCTTCCTCGCAATACCCTTCGCGACCATGAGACCAAGGCCCAGCCCCTCACTCTGCCGTGTCATGGAGTCGTCTTCTCTTGAAAACGGCTTGAACAGGTTAGGCAGAAACGCCGCTGGGATGCCGGAGCCCGTGTCCTTGATGTTGATGACAATGTAGCGACCTTTTGCGCTGAGTGTCGCTTGGAGTGTGATGGATCCGTCCTGTGTAAACTTGATAGCGTTGAGAGCAAGGCAAGAGACCATCTTAGCAAGGTCCCGTTCGTCAATGACGATTGTCTCTGGCACATCGGCGGAAACAGTCCACTCGATCCATTTGGTGTGTGCCTCTCCATTCGAGCTACGCGTCCGAACTTCAATGCGCTCTCCCGTATCCGTGGCCTCGGCGATGGCGGAATCCGGTCGTCCTCCTACTTTGAGCGCATCGTTGATAACGTACTGAAGGACTTCTCGCAGGTTGGTGTGTCGCAGTCCAGGGACCTTGGAGTGTTCGGATGCGAAGATTGGCGAGGTGGTGGAGTCACACTTGCCCAACGATGTTCCATGTGAGCAGGTGTGGTCTAGTCGGTCCAGTTCCAGAGCGCTTGCGTCTGGAGGACAGGACTTGGTGCCGCGCATGGGAGGCTCCTCTGAAAAGGTGTCTCGAACTCGTTGGCGGGCACTCTTGACCACGCGTGTCTTGTTAGCATGGTCTGCCCAGGAAACTTCGTGTCGTCTTCTTTTGATGCCGCGTAGCGGAGCGCGCATGTCGTTGCCGGTAATCATCAGATCCGGCCGCATCTCGCGCCAGAAGGTGTTCCACTGGTCGGGCGTCTTGTCTAGTGGCGAAAGTGGGGTCTCTGGTACGCCCATGTTCATGTCATAGGCGTGGACAACATTGTCGGCTGCTTCGACTGCGCGTCTTGAGCTGTCTGATACGTAGTTAGCATGGCTCGGTTCAAGACTCGATGCTGGATTGGTGTTTCCCAGGAGGATTAAGCAATGGTTTTGCAGGATTGTTACACACCTTGGACCGCCTCAATGTTCTCCCTGAGTGTGTCGAGTATCTCACGGGTCCGCGATTCAAGTTGCAGGGATTCTGATGCTTCTTTTACGTTTGCCATCATGACGTCTAGCATACCAACGACACCCTGCATCGGCGTCCTCAACTCATGGGATAGACTCCGGGCGTAAGGCTTCAATGACTGGGCAACTGAGACGGCTCTGTGGGGCACGATCCTGGGTATCTGAGCTCGGATTGGTTCAGCAGCCTCTGCAAAATCATTGCCTTCCAAGACGCGCTCTAGGATCATGTCTTCCAGGCTATGGAACAGCATCTCAAGAAATCCCCAGCTCAACACGCGCCGAGCAGCCCCCTCTTTACCCCACATGACACCAAAGTGGGCGAAGCACTTTCCTTCCGCAAACAAGGGGATTCCAAGGTAGGCCTCGCCCGGGATGATGAGGTCGTTTGGATTGTCGAGAATAAAGTCGTTTAGTCTTTCAGGGATGATGAAGACTTTGTCGTGCTTCATGTAGGCACACGGACACTGGTAGGCATGGTACTTGAAGTTTCTCAGGTGGCCGGGTCCGTTGCCATGGTCGTCGTTGATGTAGAAAGCCTCGCCCATGAGGCAGGCTCCAGGCTCGCCGATGGGTGGCAGTTCGACGGCAACATTCTTGTCGTCGACGAGGATGCGCTTGGAGACGAAAGCGTACTGGGCGTCGGCAATCTTGGCCAGGCCTTGGGTGAGCTGGATCCAGAAGCTGTCGGTATCAGCCTTGCGGAGGGCATCCTTGAGTTTGACGAGCTGCTCGGCGGCGTTGCTCTCTGCCGGCACGTAGAGCTGGGACAGTCCCTCTCTGAAGCCGTTCTCGCCTTGCTGTACGACCATGCCAGGCATGGGGCGGGAGAAGCAGAGCGACTGACGCTCGATTATATCAGGTGGGATGGTAGTAGGTCCCTCCATCGTTCAGACTTCCATGCGGGCAGTCGGCACGGGGGTCCAGGATGGGCACAGGGGTCTGGGTCAGACGAGGTGGGCAGCTGGAGGGAGGATATGCAGAGGCGACCAAGGCAGGCGGAAACACATGCAGAAGCGGATTAGTAACGTGGGTGGGAAGGGCGAGGAAGGCGTGATGTGCGGGACTGAGAGAAGGAATGCGAGGAATGGCAGGCACGGCGGGCAGTCAGCGATATGGTTGGTCTTTTGCTAGAGTCGCACACAAGAGGGCTGGTGGACGATCTAGAACCTGTCCCGGAGCCGTGGCTTTGCGCGTCCTTGCACCTCGCGCCTGGCACCTTGCACCCTCACCCTCCAGGCCCGCCGCTCGTTTTGCTGGTGACTCTGCTGGCTGCCTGGCGCGCTTCAAGAGGACAGCGGGCCCCGACCGCTGCTGCTGTCTCGCCGTGAGGCTCGCCGTGCTGCGAGCTGGCCCCATGCTCCCCAAGACGGTCCCGCCGCCTTTCGCCTTGGACGCTGGGGCAGAGTTTGAGCGTCGAGGGACCCTGGCGGCTTTGGTCAGCACGCTCGGTGGGCCGCGCCTGCTGGAACAGTCTAGACGCGCTCGGCTGCCGGTCGCTCCTGCACGATTCCCAGCGCTACCCCAGTAGCCCCTTCCGCTTCGGCCCCTATGAAAACCTCGCCCGCACAGTCGCCGCCGACGCTCACGCCTGGCCCTACGCCATGACGATTACAGTCGCCCGCCCCAACATGCACATTACCCTTTCGCCGTCGTCTTTTCTTTTTGCCCATCCGCAAGTCCATGGCCAGCATGCTTTATTGTGGCGCCCCGAAGCTGCCTGTCTGCTGCTCAACAGTTGCCACGCCGCGGCGCCCACCCACGTCGGCGCCCTCCAGCCTTGGTCCAGCCTGACGTCAGCGGCTCCCGCTCCCACGCAGCGCACCGCGCCCGTTTGCTGCCCTCGCATTCCCCATGAAGCCGCACTGCCGTCGTGCAGCACAGTGTTTGCAGATGGACAGCGCCGCACCGGGCTTAGCGCCGCCGCTTAATGGCGCCAGATCGACGATCGGCCGAAACGGAAGCTAGCGCCCTTTGTTCTGCTGCCCAGCTGTCTGCTCGTGCTCGCGTCGTCCATCTCTGCCCTTACGCAGCTCCGACACCCGCCCACCAGTCGCCTGGCCCGACATTGCCCTCTTTTTCGACACCGTTGCTGCGGCCTCTGCTTCACTCTGTGACGCCGCCCCTCTGCATGTCGCCCAGACTCTCG